TGAGCGCGCACAGACCTTCTGTTTTGCTAGCAGTAAAAGAATGCACACGGACATCAGTTACCGCTCGAAAGGGAATGCCAGAGGGGTGGGCTGTGTGGTCTTGCCCATATTGAGCGTGGGTTGTGGATGAGCTCGCGAAGCACGCCGACACAGCCAAACCCGGCTTGCGCGCATCAACGTGCTGTAATGCCAAGGGCAGCCGTGTCAGGAGAAAGTACCTACGTAAACGTACCCAGAAGGCTAGGCTCGTCCGGGATACGGTACTCCCGTGAGAGCAGTAGATGCCTTTCGGCCGGTTTCCGGCTGTTCTGTGACGTATTAGTAGACCAGCCAACAAGGGCTTGCAATGGATTGCGTCCAGCTCAAATCGACAGCCAAAGGAGTGCAGCGCGGCCGTAGTGTACGGCAGCTAGACGCATACGTGCAAGCTCATTCAGTGAAGCAACGTTGGCGGCGTTTCCGGGTCCGCTGGCTTCTGGTAAAATCCTCACGGGGGTGCTTCGACGGTGGCAAAATGTCGTCCGCTCTATCCAGTTGAGAAGACGAACGGTTACAGGGGCGAAGATTCGCCAGTGCCTGTTCGACTGAAGGGAAGGCTTTCTTCGACTTCTACTGAATGCAGATGAGCTTGTTCAGAGGGAGACGCCCAAAGAGCTGCAGTTGGACGCGTACGCCGAAGGCGTGCTCAAGTGCGCAGGCATACTTAGGATCCGCACATCGTCAACAGGTACTCGCGTTAGAGGCTCCCTGTTCGGAACTCTGCCGGAGATGCGCCGTAGACGGCGCGGCGGTAGCAGACATGTTGCTGGCTCTAGCAGAGCGCAGCCTGGGATACACTACTTTTCATCTATACGCGACGAAGAGTGTGGGCTGGCTGTTGTCTGGCAACAACTGCGCACACAGTGTATACATATACATATATATATATATACGTATGTATATAGTCGTGATGCGCCGTGTACCTCGGCACGTGATATGTGTTCCTTCGACGTACGTGCACGCTCACACAAGCTGACAGTTGCTCCAAAACCGCGCAGACGTACCTGAATGTATATACCGGCCACGTACTCGGCGCAAGCAGGTTAGTTTGGGCCTGGGATTCACGAATGTACAGGTTTTCTTTAAGTGGCACGCATCCAGGAAAACGGGCCAACGTAGATTTATACAGGTAAATACCTATATATATATATATATGTGTATACATATCGTGCACAGGCGTGCTAAAGAAAGGAGGAGCGCAGGTGACTTTTCATCTGCCGCGGAAAACTACGTGCACATGCACCTTGAAATTCACAGCTCGAAGAGCGACTCCGTTTCGTGCCTTAGAGAGTGTATATATGTTTGCACACGTGTGCAGGCCTACGGACACGCACTGGAGGATGTGCTTGAGCGCATCGCCCCCAGTTGTGGTGCGTTACGCCAGTACGGTTTTGTCTTCAACATGCAGTAGATGCCGCCGTGCGTCTTCCGGTGATTGCTGCAGCTTGCTTGTGCACTTCTGCCCACGGGACGTGGGCACTGATGCAAAATTGTGTACGTGAATAAATATATACGTACATATGTAGACATATACATGTATATATTTTTGGAGACACATATGTATAGATATAGTGCACGCAGACGTACGACAAACAAGGAGCGTTTTCCTCCAGGCGGTCCCACGTTGCTTCTTTCTACAAGTGCTTGTTGGACCGAAGGACCCTTCTGCATAGTTATGGACCCTTCTGCATAGTTACGGGGTTTATGGTGCGATGCTGACCGCAAGAGCTAATCTGTCACTATGTTTCACGTAATGGTGCTGAGCAGCCGCTGCTGTCTGCCCTGTGCGCGCACCTGCTCCTGCTGCTGCTGCGAGTGGGGCGGTCCGCGGCCTAGAGAGGGTTTGTGTGCAATCGGGTGTGCAAGACGGGTCTATACTCTCTCCTCAGCAGTGCGCCAGGTGCAGTCACGCAGACATCCAACGGGCTGCTGTTGCCGAGGCTACGAAGGCACATGCCTCCCTCTCCAAGCACCAGACTGTCGGTGGCTCAGCCGCAGCACCTGCTGCGGTGTAATAGCCACGCCGCCCTGCGACTCTCACAGGCAGCGGGTGGTGCCCTCCGCAGCCAGCAAGCAACAAAAGGCGCAACACTATGGAGCGCAAGAGCGACTGCTGCATAAGTCCCAGCAGCGACAGCTGCGTACGTCGTTACAGCGACAGCGGCGTACGTCGCTACGGCGACAGCTGCATACGTCGCTACGGCGACAGCTGCATACGTCGCTTTAGCGACAGCATCCGCAGCAGAAGCATGCACAGAGGACGTGTTAAGCCAAATGGAGGCGACATCCGAGCCACAGCGGCATCTGTGTCCTCAAGAACAACGGTTTGCCTCTGGAAAGGGAAGAACCGCTCCCCAATTGTGCGAAAGCCCTATCTACGAACATGGCAGCAGCCGCAGCGGCCTGCAGATGCTGGGTGTGTATCAGCAGTAGGCAACCAGCCGCGTGCAACAGCACAGGAGTTCCCCAACACGCAGTCCCACGTTGCTGCACGGCAAACCCCGGCGGCCTTCGCCTCCTCCACATGGTTTCGCCTTCTCGCGTAGCAGGACGGAACCACGTTGTAGCGGACAGCTGTCAGCTGCGCGCACACCCTGTGTGGCGAAGGGACTACCCGGCCTGGCCAGCGACATATCATATCGTGCCGTGCGAGGGGAGATTGCGCCGAATACTGAACGCCACGGCAACAGTGCTATCTTAGCCTTGCCGGTCTGGACGATGTGTGGAGGCCTGCATGGTGCGTGCACAGCAGGGAGAGGGACACGAAAGGATGAAAGGGATCGCTTGATTCTGAGCGCTACGTACGCGTACGTTTTCCGTCCTCCACAGATCTGCCCACTGTCAGCCACTGAGTCTTGTGGAGTGTGCGAGTGCACAAACGTACTAGTACACTTTTTTCCAAGAGTCACGTACACCTCTTGGCTTGTCGGAAAAAATCCTGTCTGTACCGAAGCAAGTGACACGCTGGACATAGTGCAAGCTAGATAACGTGTAACTCCCCACGTGTAGCAGACGACATGGAAGAGAAAGGAAAGGCAGACACCGATACAGTGAATACTACATGCGAAGACGCCTACTACGTAAAGAACGTTTGTACCCTACTGCTCTGCACGAAGGGCGTAAAACACGCCACGACCTCGTATATCAGGCAGGCAAAACTGTCGGCGGAAAGCGTCACTCAGTGTGGCAATCGGGAGGGTCGCACTCGCCGCGCGCCGATTGCGGGCGTATGCGAATGTCGTAGTTGCGTGCATGCCGCGTTACTTGCTCTACTCTTGGCTAGTTCCCCGTGCGCCTCAATGTTCGCCTTATGCGGCTGTTAAGGGCATTTCTCATCAGAAATTAGCGCGCAGCGTCCTGGCCACCGGCGTCTGAGCGGCTACTCCTGTATACGGCGCGCTTTCACTCTCGCAGGAGTTGACTCTTTTCAAGTGTCCGCTTGCACACGCTGCCATCTACTTACAGCGACAACAGTCAAGCGCCTGCGTCCTGACCGAGGCAGGGATGAGTCCAGCGCTGTTTTTGTTCCTCCAAGGCGCCCCTCGCAATGCCTCGGCTGCAGCCGCAGCAGCAGCACCGGCAGCATAACAAGGCGTGGGGTAACGGTGGGGGCTGCAGCGAGGCTGCAATACAGCACCAGCAGCAGGACGGGCAGCCGGAGACGCAGTGCAGCAGCGGCGGCAGACACGGCACGAGCACCACAGGGTGGATTCGTTGCTGAGGACAGCTGCAACGCTTCTGCAAATGCAGCAGCAAGATTCGCACGCTGCAGTTAGGCGCAGAAGCTGCAACAGTCAAGCAGATACACGCAGCACGGCCACGAAGGCGGAAGCCGCCCGTATCACGAGACAGCCGCGGCGCAACACGCGGACGGTCAAGCAAATCATGGTATGCGTGTTCTGCTGCCCACTGCGTGACGCACGCCCCGTAGGCCCGCCGAGCAGTGACAGATCAGCGCTGCCTGCTTACCACCTGGCACAAGCAGTTCTGCAAAGGAAATACACGCACACATCAATGCAGCAGCGCCCATGAGGTCCCAAAGCCCACAGCATACCTGTGGACAAAAGCATGCGCTGCCGCTTCTGCACACGTATGAACGCTTACGTATACGGGAGTTCACCTAAACGAATATACATGTGTACATGTACATAAACAAATATTTATGTGTACGTGCATGCACAGGCTAGCCTACTACGCAACATAGACAGACTCGCCAAATAACAAGTGAAGCAGCCGTATGTGCTCTTGCAGCCCGCAGTAAGTGCGTGTATCAGCGTTCATCTGTCCGAGCCGCAACGTTGAAAGAGTGCTAAGGCGCGTGCGATAGAACGCAGGCACGTTACCGCTTGTCGGATGTGGATTGCTCCCGCCTATTTCCCCGGCTTCTGCGCCAGCATATTGCACTGTCCTCTTCTAGTGGTCCACCAAGAACCTGAGAAACCACACTCTGACGCAGACCGGCTGCGGGCTGACTGTGCAGACGGATTCTTCTACGACATGCACACTGCAGACCTCTCCGTAGTGCAGATGTGTTTCGCATGCGCAGACAGTGTTTACGGTTCTTCCGCGCGTATGTAGAGACTCCACCCTCCATGGGTGGGTCTGCAGCACGCGCGCGTGCCGGACATGCCCTCCACAGTCACTCACGCAGTCGTCCACGTGCTGTGCTTTCCCTTTTGAAGGAGCGCTTGGTACTCTGTACAGCAGCTTGTAGGTTATCGGCATGTGCACACGAGGATACATAAATCCTCCCACTTCCTAAGGGGCACAAAAGGGAGCGTGTGCAACATATACGCTATTTTTGTACGTCGGTAATCTCTCCATCGTGACCGCATGCCCCTCGCAGGCAGGCGCACGCACTCGCACACTAACAAATGCCCGCAGGCTCTTGCAGCCGTGTGCATTATGCGTTAATGGCGCCACAGCCCTAATCATTCACGGCTGGCCGCGCGCTTGCGTAGTGTAAGAGCGCCGCTTCGTACAGCTTTAAGTGTCTGGAAGCCCTCGGGTGAGTGGCTCGGAATTCATGTGCAATGACGATTGTCCCAGAGGAAACTTTAGCTTTTCAGAAATGTCGAGGGTTCCCACATATGCGTCCAGCCAAAATCTCGAACCGTTTGTTGGTATGTCTCCGTTAGCGCGCATGCACGGCCCCTCCTTGTGTACGGCGAGGCACAGGCCGGCTGCACACATAGACTGGCACATTCGAAACGGAGGCACACTTTTGTCAGCAGCCCGCTGCTTCGCACGCCGTCACAGCACCCCGCGCACCAGAGCAGCGTCCCCCCTAGTTCTCTTCGCTGGAGAGATGTAACGAGACAACAACCGCCTTCACGCAGGCGGGCCGCGTCCAAGTGCGAAGCTGCGCTTGCTAAACCACGACGAGAGACGGCTTCACGACCGTGGCCACTGCCAAGTCGAAGAATCACACTTGACTGTCCATAGGTGTGCTCGCGACGCAAACGTCTCATTGACGACCCAGCGCGGCCGACAGTAGATGTCCTCCGTCCGCCTTTCACCGCTGTGCTGTCACCTGCTCCCTCATCTACCCTGGATGGCGTTGGAGAAGTCTGTGATGGTCATTCTTCCTAGTAAGAAAAAAGCGGGCTTGTTCGGTGTCCTGCATCTCTCCTCATGAATGTCTACCCGCCTTTTACAGGCATTCCTTGACTTGCGGGTGTCGTCTCACGAGCTTACCGCACCGACGCTGTGCGTGCTCTCTGAACAGCACCACGACTCTGTGCTTTGTACGGCCAGACGGCTGGTGCGTGAAGGTACCTTCACGTGGAAGACAGCAAATGCACCACCACGCCCCCCGGTCGGCATCGTCTGACTGGGAGACTTCAATGAAGCCGCTTTCCGCACACTGCGTGCCATCGAAATGAGCTTCCTGATGCGACTTTGTCATATGTGGCGAAAGCATCCGTCGACCTATCGGCTCAGATGTAGCCTCGCTCACACAGCATGTAAAGGGGAAAGCACAGTACCCCAACTCGCTGCATCGTAGAGTGCTCGGTTAAACTGCGTACACTGTTGTGGTGCAGGCACCGATTGTACGCGATACCTTACGCTGTGCTGGGCGCGTAATGGGTACCGCACAAGCAGGACGCCGAGAAATAGTGTCCAGCCGTACTGTGCTGGGCGCGTACCACGCACCCACCACGATGACGCTGAGAAGTACATAGTCTAGCGACGTCAATGCCACGCATGCTGGTGAACACGCGCATGTCTCGAGTCGCTGTACGCTGCACTGCAAAGACATCGATTGTAACCTGCGTACGACGCAGCCCGCGTGACGCAAGCGATTCGCAGCGTCCTTGTGCAAGCGTCGATTGTGCGGTATCTACGACCGAAGAGTAGTGACGGAAAGGCGGCTGTCCGGCGTAAGTGCGACACATCGCCTTGTCGCTGGCTGTCTACGCAGTGACTGAATACTGACGTTCATAAGCTCTAATACCCATAACGCATCATGCGGATGATACGAAGAAAAATAAAAAAGTGTGTGCAATGCAGAAGGTAGCTGATTATCTCCTTGCTGCCGCTGTTGCCCCTGCTGCTGCTGTTGCTGCTGCTGCTACTGCCGTCGCAATCGCTCTTGCCCCCCCGTCTCAACTCTTGTATTATGCAGCTGCAATGCATGGCTTTACACGTCGCGTTGAACTACGTGCTCTGCGCGTCCTTATTGTGGGGTACCCAGGGCGCTTGCGGTCAGTTCGGAGGGGATTCACTGACCCCCTAGCTGCCGTGAGGGATTAAACCTCTTCAGGGAGCCTCGATAGCAAATGTGGGAGCAGCAGACACGTTCTCACTACCGTGCGGCTGGCGATGTTGACAGGGGCCGCGCCCGTCGCAGGTCGCTTTCTCAGCCGCCAGGCGCGCCTGGTATCTGGTTGTGTTGAGCATCGCCGTGGAGTCCTTGCAAAGCATTTGTCCCTTAAAAGAGGGGGGGGTACGTTTTGAAAATGCCGAGGTTTACCGCCGTACGAGAAGATGGAGAGCGGAAGGAACATTATTATCCTGCGTGGTGGCCCGATTGTAGAGCAGGAAGGACCATCGCCCTGTTGCCGCCCTAGTTCCTACGTAGTGACATACAAAATGCTTTCAGCCCCCCTGCCTTTTAAAGTGGTTTCCCCAGCTGTCAGCATACTTCTCTTTCTTATACTGGTACAGCAGTGCACCGAAAAGTACGCTGTCGTATGCGCGCCCGCTGCTTCGCCCCCGTCCGAAAGAGGCGGCCCCCCTTTGACGCTGAGCGGGACTCTCTCATTCCTCGAAGGCTGGCTGTGTTTAATGAGAACGTCGACGAGATTACTGTTCTTGAGGAAGGAACAGCCGACGAAAGTCAGCGCCGGGGCGTCGCTGCTTTCCTCAGGCGTTCCTTCCGCTGCCCACCTCGCAGGAGCTCCCGCTTACACTTGTCGAGTGGGCGCCGGGCAATTCGCACGTAGGGTACATTCTAGGTCTCAGACGGGCTCTGAAGGCTGCTAGCAGGTTACTCAAACTCTTCGTGGGACTGCTATGTGTTATCGGCATGGTATTTTTACTTTGGCTCTTGCTTCTACCACTAAAAAACTCAAGATGCACCAGCAGCCCGCCGGGCCTCGGTGGTGTACCGGAGTTCTTCTTTGCGCTAGTTGGGACCTGTCTTATCTTCCTGCTAGTTCAGCTGGCTCTCTATCTCTTGAAATGGCTGCTTCGCACTCTAGAGCATGGGGAGTTCCGACACCGCGGCCGAAGACGTCGCCTCTACTGAGGAGTGAATTGCATGTCTGAATCTGGAAGCACCGGCCGCAGTGGCAGGGCACGGAAGAGAGGATGAAGGAAAATAGCTCACAGAGGGGCTGCGTTTTATCGAGTGCCACCGCGCTGGGAGAAGTAACGACTCCGTACTCTAGTGCCTCGGGCTTGTTCGCATCGGGACTAAGAGCTGCTCCGCCACACGCGATGTTGCGGAGCAATCTAGTACCGGACGCAGGATCGGCAGCGCACGTCGTGTGTACGGACTGTGAGCTTGTGCAACTGCAAACCGTACAATGCACCTGCTGGTCCCTGATAGACCCGGGAGTTAGTAATAGTTACCTCTTGGCCCAGCTGAACGTGTGGGCCGCACAGTTTGTGCACTCGCCTGCACTAGACAGACGAGGAAATCCTTGGTAGTTTGCACCGCCTGTACAGGTGTATCTTTCGTTCCATCAGGAGTTTCTGCGCGTGCAAGTGTATCTGTTGTTTCACTAGGGACTCTCTGCGCATGCAAACTTATACTTTTGTGTCAATATTAACGCGCACGGCCTAGTATGTGCATGCATACCCATCTTCTCTGGGGCCCGGCGGGTCGTGCTCACGTTGTTGATCTCCTACCTGGGTGTCCAGAGTATGGGGTATTGGGGGGAAATTCCCTTCGTAAGGCGTAGGTCACCCTATGTCACGCAGGCGCTGATCGAAGAGTCGGGAAGGCCCACATATGTGTGCCGGCTCTATTGCATCACGTAAAGATAAGCTTACTGTACATCATCTGCGGGACACAAACCGCGGCGTATTGGCACTGTTCGATACCACATGTTTCGTATGCGCAGAGCGGCGCGGTGCGCCCGCCCCTGGGAACGGGATCGCGCCGGGTACCCGGAGCTTTCAAAAAAAACGTTAAACGAGCCGCACACCAGAGGGACATCTAGCAGCGCGTGGAATATATTTTCGACACCTGCAAGCCTCCCTGAGCGCGTCATTCTTTTCCTGCACGACAGACTGTGTGTGCGATATCTTACTGAAATTGCATCTGAGACGTGGTAGGTTACGCGTGCACAGGTCGAATGGATATAGATTATTGCCTGCCTTGATCCCAAGTTGCGACCAAAGGAACCGCCACGGCGCTGCCTCAGACAAAGGGAGTTGCACCGTGCACTGGGAGAGGTTGCCATGCACTTGTGTGCATTCGTCTTTGAACAGCCACGCGTTCAGTACGTGGACGCTCAGTGGTGGGCCAACCAACCTGCCTTGTCCCAGTACGTCTTCACTACAGGCCAAACGCTATTGGTCAGAATGAAGTGCTGGGTGCTGCATATGCAATCTACCGGCGGAAGCCTTTCCAGCATGTACTACAAGTGTACTACCCAGTGCGTATGTAAGCACTCGCAGGGAGGCCGGAGCGGTTGAGGTGTGGGCAGGGGCGTTGACCCCGAAAATGACACTGCTCTTTGCAGTGTAGCCGTATCGACACGTGCAGCGATACGCGAGGGGTGGGGGTGGCTGGCGAATGTGGAAAGCATGCTCGATACACCAGAGGACAGCATTTCTGCTCTCGAAGGCACTGATGCATCTCAGCACGTGAGTGCTCGCCGGGTACTTCGTGGCAGCTTGCCTCTCGTTCACTTAGGTGGCCAGTTGTGGTAAGAGTTACTGAGAGGCAGGAGGGCTGCGGAAGGACGGCAGTTTTAGCACTTCCCTTATTTGATTCTCTTATACAGTGCTGCGACTTCTACGGGGGGTGTGGCAGAGCAGCTGCCGATGCTGCGGCCCCTCTGGTCCTGTTGCCAGCGGTGCGCCGGCCTCCGCGTCTTGTGTGCGTAACACACGCACCTCGGGGAGAACCGGTCTGTCGTCGAGCTTGAAGAAAGCCTGGGCCGCATCACAGGTGCGCACCGCACGCCAACAGAACACAGACACAATAGGACACGACAGGGACGAGTGACACATCTGCTGGGGGCGTCCTACCCGTGGCTGATTGCACAGGTGGCGGGGTTTCTGCGTACGCAGACTCCACCGTCATGCGCATATGTTACGTGTACAGGACGGGCACGTGCCGCATCCCCGCACGGCAAGAGGGCTTCTCATGTCTCTCAAGCACATATTTCATCGATGGCCGCGGGTCGTAACTGCATTGCTCCCGCTTAGCTCCCCCGGTGTCCTGCGGCAACATAGTGCGGTGTCCTCTTGTAGTGGTCCACCCACAGGCTGAGGAACCACACTTCAATGTAGAACAGCTGCGTGCTCGCTGCGTAAACAAATTATTCTACCACATGCGCATTGCAGACCTCTCCCCAGGCCAGATGTGTTCCGCATGCACAGACTGTGTCTACGTTCCATCCGCGTGTATGTAGAGTCTCCACCCGCCATGGACGGGTCTGCAGCGCGCGCGTGCGGCCACGCCCGCAACAGCCACTCACATCCAGTCATCCGCCTACTGTGTTCTTCCTGTCTGCGAAGCGCGTGTTACTCTGTTCAGCAGCTTGAAGCCTGACTGCATGTGCAGGTAAGGTTATCGAGATCATCTCGTTTCTAAGGAGCAGAAAAGGGTGCGTGTAAAGCGTCTCAGCTGCGTTTGTACGTCGGGCATCCCTATGTGCAGGTAAGGTTATCGAGATCATCTCGTTTCTAAGGAGCAGAAAAGGGTGCGTGTAAAGCGTCTCAGCTGCGTTTGTACGTCGGGCATCCCTATAAACCGTGCCAGGAGTCGCCATCCATACCCGGTCATCGCCTGCAGACGGCGCCACGGGCACGTACGCCCTTTGAGAGAGCTGTAACCTACGCCTAGAAGCAGCTGTACGAAAGCAGCCAACGGGGCAGAAGCAGCAGCTGTGGCGATCGCAACAGCAGCGGCCACCCGCGTCGAAAAAGGAATTGAACAAAACCCTTCGCACAGCAGTTGCTGTTGCGGTAGTGTTCATGGTCACGACCTCCTCATCACGCCTGTAGCTGTTGCATCCAGGAGCGGCAGCAGGTGGTCCACATGAAGTGACGCGAGCAGTACGCCGCCAGTGACTGCCGATTTCCGAGCTACTTCTGCAGCCGCGCACCTTGCTGATAAGCAACATGCGCACCGGGAATGAGTGAGTCACAACGCTCGCAGAGCTGCGTTTGAAGAAAGACGTCTTCCTACACTCTTTGTGCGGGGTAGCGTTTGAGTCATGGCTTCCTTCCCATCTTCGCAAGGAAACCGATACACGAATTCCCCAGGTCCACACACTCCTTTAGGCG